CTTTAAACTTATAATTACGCCTTTCCCTAATCTCCGCCTTCTCAAGTGACGTATCGTTTAAAACCGTGGAAATAAGCGCCCCTGATCGTTGTAGATCTAGAGATGATATGTTTGGTTAGCGATGAATTGTTGCTAGGGCCAAAAAATATGCGACGTCATACATGTGTAGTAGAAATTACGTCATATACACATGATGTCAGTGCATGGGCCCTTGCATTATTGACGTGGCATTGTTTTATAAGTATTCAAAATTTCCAATGTCTGAAAGCGAGGAAATGAATAACTTAAATGCCACCCTTTATTGTTCTTTACACATTTTTAAAGAAGATGCCCTCCAACCATGTGGATATTTTGTTCATATGGGTGACAAAAATAGAATTGTCAGCTGCATACCTATACGTCATTTATCACCTCCTGAAAGTGTGAAGTCAAGTTGACTCATGCGTTAAGTTTATGCTCAGCATCATACGCTATATAAGTCTTATTTGAAAAGTAAAAGCTCAGGAATCATGATATGATGCTTAGTGCAACGTCATTGTGAAAGACCAGTTTTAAATGCGTTAAGCTGCCACAACCTCCCTCTCCGATGACACATAGTCAAGGTGAGGAAGATAACTTCACGAGATCATAAATAAAACTGTCATGATTTCTAAACTTGGCCTTCCTGTCATCTTCGATAAGGAAAAGAACATTCAGGCGTCGCTATTTTTTAGTAAATGACAAACTTCATGATAACAGATTGGATGAGGACGCGACTCATATTTATTTAGGCGACACAAAAGATAAAAAAAATGACAGATTTGTGGTACATTCTATGGTTCATGACCTGCATTTATATTTTTAAAACTGCCCAAGGCAAAGAGTTGCACAGAGTTTAACGTGTCACAGCACTCCGTATACGAGTACATGCAGGCCTACATGCATTTAGCACGTCAATGCATTATCGACATTTGTCCACGAGCACGCTGGGCAGCATGGCTGCATAGAGTAGGACGCTGAACTGAAAATTACCTGGAAGAAGAGGTAAATGAATATTGCTCTATTCATAACACTCTGTGATCAATGACACGTAGAAGGCAGTTTTGTGTGTATGTCATAGCAAAAAGAAAAAAAACTAGAGCTGGACGGCATTTATATACTGGAGGTAGTCCTACAAATGTATCATAGCACAGAACCCTACATATATATTATAGAACTGCATATATACTTCATCGTAGCAGGAGGGATCCAAGATGAGAGTGTATACATGTATATATCTGTACCATTGAGAGTTATTATTTTAAAAGGTCAACGCTAAAAGAAGCTTGTCTTTATATCAGATTGATAATAGCGTCCATATTATTCATAATGTCAACAACTCAGCGCGAAGTTATTTAGTTCAACCACATTAATGATAATGATCAGATGTTTGCGTTTAAGTGACTACTGCTTAGCGTCAAAAAGTGTCAAAAATGTAATGAAGTCTACGGACACGTATTATGTATAAACCATGATTTGAAACAAATAAGAATGATTATTTTACTATTTGAAAGGTATGTTTTCCTTACTGCAAGGCGGAATTTTATTGTACATGAGACAGTAAGATGGGCCGCGCTGCATGATTTAACGTACGGTGTTTCACAAAGTCATTCTAATAGCCACGTACAAATGTTGTTTGTCATTACAACTGTTGCAAAATGTGTGTAGATTTGTAGGCGAATAACTTCCAGTTTTATTCACTCATAGCATATTTACAAAATAATGTAAACCTTCCTAAAAACGATGAAGTATTCTCTGTGCAGTATAGGTCAATGCATGTATATTGAAAACTCATTTTGCTTTGATTGAAAGGAAATAATGGTTGATTTGTCGTGAAATATAATATCCGAAAAATGTGCTTCAGAAGTAGGCATGTGATTGATAATGAAAACAGTGAAGACACGATTGTGACGTACACGTAGTGTAGTCTTGTCGCAACTAAAGCATTTGATGTAGCGGGAATATTTATTTGATTATTATTCTTTATATTAATTTTCTTTTTTTATTGTTATTGAAAGAAAGTTTTACAGAGTAATACATCAGACTTTTAAACAGAGTAATTTTGCATGAAATCAGTTATTTCTTATTAACGGCTTCTCTGTTTAGGCTGATACCTAATTTACGGGCAGCTAGGATCCAAAGTTTCCTGCGACGTGCTTTAAGTTGGGATGATCCAGCAGAGTGTATAGTAGAGTACGATATGGTTACATCATGGCATCCAATACCACTGCCCTTTTCAACACCAGCAGTTATGATGAGGGTAAGAATGAACAGTGCTCCCTCTCTCTCCCTCCCCCTCCCCCCCCCTCTCTCTCTCTCTCTCACACACACACACACACACACACACACACACACACACACCGACAGAAAGACATTTGATTCTCGTGTTTTATGTACAAGTCAGACACTGAAGAAGCACATGAACAATGTTTCTTAGAAGAACAACTTAATTCGTTTTTTTTTATTTGTAGATCCGCTACTCGACGGTGAACTGTGGTCAACGTACTTAAATGGCGGTATATTTGCTGCAGTGCTTTTTGTTGTAATCGTTCTTGGTACCGTTATACTCTTAAAATTACATGGATTACGGACACAACCAGGGTAATGAATTCATATTTTTCTCATAAATAACTAACGATACAGAAAATAGTGCCAGTACACGTAATTTCAGTACTTAGGAATAAGTTATTTATTCGTTAAAGAAACACGTTATCAAGAGTAGGCATTTAATGTCGGAAGTTGACCTATATTAATACACGGTACAGGTACATGTAGCTTGCTGCACGTAAGATAGCTCTTCAACTTGCTCTCTCACTTTTTCCTTATACGTTTACACTGCCTTCTGCACTAGCCGGTACACCTCTTTTCCTATAATTTGAAATATATGAACATTTAATTTGGTTTTACTCTGAAATATCTCGGGTGTGGACAATTTACCTTTGCCATCCATATCTTCTGGATCCGCCATTGCGGTTATACCATGTATGGTTAACAAATTCAGTTACATTTGCAGGTGTCAAGAAGTGTGCGAAAAAGAGCGGTATGAAACAGATGGAAAAACGAAGGTAAATGCTTTTTATAATATGTTTGAAATCTATATAAAAATAAAATAAAATAAAATAAAATAGAGACACGTAAAAACGCAATTCTGACATCATGCATTCCATGCATATTGTTTTGTTTGCCCACGATTTGGGGGATTTTTACTTATTCTTAAAGGTACATACGAACCGAGCATTGGTGGAGTGTGGATTCTGAGTAACACATGTAAACCACTTCTACTAGATTCTTATATGACTCAAATAAATTCGACATGCCAAGGGATAAACTGAATAGATCACTCGGTCAGCCATAAAAGACCTTTAGACTGCTCCTTTCTTTAAATTTATGGTTGTAAATTTAACCTACTTCCGTGACCTACTTTCCTGCCCCATTGACATACAGTACAGCTTAGAATGCCAGCAGAAAAATCTGTTCAAACATCATTTTCGGGTAAAATTAAACAATGCCTTTTGGTAATTCTCTTAGTTATACTACTTGAAACTATATGCTGGCATTTGGTTGGTTTTTGTGACAAAAAATTGACTTTGTTTGCATCTTTAATGATACATGTATTAATCTATAGCATCCTCAATACTCTCGCTCTCTGTTTGACTCAAATTATTTTATTTTGGATATATCTTATGTAAAAAAAAATGGGGTCGTATGCGCTCGCGTGATCGCTAAAGTTAACCAACGGGCAAAATCAATGTTGTTTGTCTTTGCAGGAAAAAGGCAATGATGGGCAGGTGCTGCCGCCTAGCGCCGAAACAGAAACGGCAAGCGCAAGCCGCGAGAAAACGCCCCCGGTGAATGACGTAAAAGTAACCACTCCCTTGTCTCTGTCCCCACTCAAAGCCGGGTATTACTATTACAGTTTCCATGGCGATGACCCGGATCTACAAGGTTTTGGTGACAATGGAAATATTTATGCAAATGGCGACATAGTCCGCGCCTATAATTTGGAGACTGGTTCATTAGACCACAAGAGATTGAGTAGGTCTTTAAAACGAATGGTATCTGAGATCAAGGAAATCCGAGGTCAGGACAACACAGACACAGAAAGTGCCCAGAATTCATCAGGGAGTGTATCAGTAGATGGCATTGTAACAGAGCTACGTGACGTAACGTGAGACCACGTGCTCGTAAACTTAACAAAATGACAACTGTTGAAAATACGTTTTTTTAAAGTAGGTAGGCCTATATGTAGCCCGGTGCAGTGAACTAATACATGAATGTGCTGTCAGCTCTTTGTATAATATATAAAATGTAAAAAAACTAGAAAGAGGTGGCCGTCCCCTCCTTGCACTGCAGTTATCTTTTGCTCTCCTATTTTTTTATTCAAATAAAGATTTTTGCGGTAAGCGTATAGGCCAAACAGTTTTTTTTTAAGTTCCAAAGAATAATTTGATTTGCAGGTTATTTATTGATCTCTCGTATATGATCTAAACATGCCACACAATGTTCAGCAATGAATGACAATAAATGACCATTTTAAAGCAAGAACGGTGTCCAGATTCTTTTCAATTTTTCAGACGAATCCCACTAGATTGTCGCGGCACGGGGGTTTTCTTTTAAAAACCAATATATAACATTGCCGCCTTTGTCGACAAATGTCACATTAGCCACATTGTTGTGAATTGTCACCCCCACGAACCCTGGTGTGGATTCGAAGAACTCACTCGTGTATCCTTTATCTACGACGTCCTGAAGGCTCTCTTCGCTCCGGTCGTACAGCTTCGACCCGGAACCGGAAATGACGTACTCGGTTGGGCGCGTGCCGTGGCTGATGTGCTCCAGACTGTGGTCGTGGCCTGAAAAGTAAAAGGCGACCTTTTCTTCCTCCATGGCTTTACGGTACGAGCTGGAGCTGTACATGGTAGGTGTGNAAAAAAAAATGGGGTCGTATGCGCTCGCGTGATCGCTAAAGTAAACCAACGGGCAAAATCAATGTTGTTTGTCTTTGCAGGAAAAAGGCAATGATGGGCAGGTGCTGCCGCCTAGCGCCGAAACAGAAACGGCAAGCGCAAGCCGCGAGAAAACGCCCCCGGTGAATGACGTAAAAGTAACCACTCCCTTGTCTCTGTCCCCACTCAAAGCCGGGTATTACTATTACAGTTTCCATGGCGATGACCCGGATCTACAAGGTTTTGGTGACAATGGAAATATTTATGCAAATGGCGACATAGTCCGCGCCTATAATTTGGAGACTGGTTCATTAGACCACAAGAGATTGAGTAGGTCTTTAAAACGAATGGTATCTGAGATCAAGGAAATCCGAGGTCAGGACAACACAGACACAGAAAGTGCCCAGAATTCATCAGGGAGTGTATCAGTAGATGGCATTGCAACAGAGCTACGTGACGTAACGTGAGACCACGTGCTCGTAAACTTAACAAAATGACAACTGTTGAAAATACGTTTTTTTTTAAAGTAGGTAGGCCTACATGTAACCCGGTGCAGTGAACTAATACATGAATGTGCTGTCAGCTCTTTTTATAATATATAAAATGTAAAAAAAAAAAACTAGAAAGAGGTGGCCGTCCCCTCCTTGCACTGCAGTTATCTTTTGCTCTCCTACTTTTTATTCAAATAAAGATTTTTGCGGTAAGCGTATAGGCCAAACAGTTTTTTAAAAAGTTCCAAAGAATAATTTGATTTGCAGGTTATTTATTTATCTCTCGTATATGATCTAAACATGCCACAGAATGTTCAGCAATGAATGACAATAAATGATCATTTTAAAGCAAGAACGGTGTCCAGATTCTTTTCAATTTTTCAGACGAATCCCACTAGATTGCCGCGGCACGGGGGTTTTCTTTTAAAAACCAATATATAACATTGCCGCCTTTGTCGACAAATGTCACATTAGCCACATTGTTGTGAATTGTCACCCCCACGAACCCTGGCGTAGATTCGAAAAACTCACTCGTGTACCCTTTATCTACGACGTCCTGAAGGCTCTCTTCGCTCCGGTCGTACAGCTTCGACCCGGAACCGGAAATGACGTACTCGGTTGGGCGATTACTGTGGCTGATGTGCTCCAGGCTGTGGTCATGGCCGGAAAAGTAAAAGGCGACCTTTTCTTCCTCCATGGCTTTACGGTACGAGCTGGAGCTGTACATGGTAGGTGTGCTGCCATGCTTTCCTGAAGAGAGAACGGGGTGGTGGCCCACAGCGATTGTCCAGTCAGCCGACGATCTGGTGATAGCTTTCTTCATCCACTTCATCTGCATTTTACTCTTGCAATTTTCGGTGTCGGCCACAATGAACTCGATCGTCACTTGGTCGCCTTCGTGGTCTTGTATTTCAAAAGTATAATACAAATTCGGCATGTACCATCTCCAGTCCACCGTTTGATGAGCCTTCACCTGGTAGATTGCGTTGCCCCAGTAATGGTCGTGGTTGCCTAGACACGCGTACCACGTGATGTTAAGACTCGGGTCAACGTAAACGTCCCGGTAGAGTGTGTTCCATAACGGATCAGTTAAACTGCTCACACCCTCGTTGTAGAAGTTGTCTCCAACAGTAAGCACGAAACGGGCATTATTAGCCTCCGCCCACTCGCCCATTGCCTTGGCAACCTTTGCTTGGTGGGATGAGTTGTAGCCCCAGTCTCCCAGCACGATGAACGAAGTCTTGCCTAAAGGAAGAAAATTCAAATGCGAATCCATTTCGTTGCATTTATTAGCGTACCTAGGTCATAATATGACCGTGTCATTATGGTCGTATTTCAGCCTACCTCCTTGATGCTAGAAATAGGCTATAGCCTAGTGCTTACAAAATGTTTACTTATTTATTTTTGTTTAAACCTCTCAGTAATATTTCTCTTTCAAAAATGGACCTTACGTAACACGGACCTTTCGCACAACTCGGCCAAACTCGAGGAAGTGGCGTATTGGTGAAAGCACCAAAACTTGGCGCCCCCCCCCCCCCTCCTTAATGCAACCCATTTCATTGTCAAACAGGGTAAGTTTTTTTCCCTATCAGAGTTATCACTGAATTGCATCCCCCATTGATTGTTATAACAGATTTTAGCGTAAGTAGTTTGACAGCCAAATCTAAACCATTCCCATCTGCGCCTTTTCAGTCAAGGCACGGACAAATCGTTGGAAGGGGGCTCGCACGCGAGACGAGACCAAAGGATAATCAGCTAAGCGCAATCCCTGCGCAAAGTCAACTGCGTTCAGATCACGTGAACTCCCGTACAGGTAGGGCAGGTTTGCGGTCATCTCTTACTTTTCGTGTCACTTAGACCGGAAAGCTTGGGGCAGATTTTCGGGTGAATGAGACAAAGGAATCGTAGAGAGAAGGTGCTAGTATATTTCACGGTATAAAATAATTTGTCCTTGTTTAAGAATTATAGACATAAACAGGTACAAATGCCATCTGGAACTTCACTGTAAATCTCTTCTCCCCATCTTTTGCCTTCTGTTACTGTATTAGAAGCGACTGACAAATGCGGATGTGACAGGAATGGTAGTCCGCTACGAACCGAAGTCCGTTTTTCATTTATATGTAAGTGAGATTCGCCCTACAGTATATACCGACTCCAATACTTCTCCAACCTGTACTTATCATACGGGACCCCGGACCTCCATTCCAAGGACTACCATTCCTGTCACACCTGCCATAAAGTACGCTACCTGGAAAATTGAAGGGCAACTAGTGCACAACAAAAATAAACTTACCTTGTACGTTTGCAATCCATAAAAAACTGAGTGAAATGACCATCATCAGAACGAAGACAACAGTTTTCGCCATCTGGAAGAACAATATTATTTAAATCTTTAATAAAAGAATGTCTGAATAAATCAGTAAATAAATATATGAATGTCTGAATAAATAAATAAATAATGAACAATATAATACATGGACAAACGAATGGAGGTGAACGTTGTTCTCCAAGTCCCATACGATAACTATAGTTCTTTTCTCCCTGTGTGTAACTCGTACCTTGCAATTGTCTGTCCGGAACTACCTAAATTTTTGATCGTGTTCCTCATACCATGCTGTTTTTATAACTTGGCACATGCGCTCTTGATTACCGTGGCCATGATTGCGGGCGCACCTTCCCAAATCAACGCCAAATTATATGCGCCTGCGGTACCAGTAGAGAAGAAGATTGTTCAATTTCTTCATTATTTTCTTAGAGTGCCGGTCTCTTAGAAGTGATCATTGCCTGTCACCGGGTCCCTAAATCGCCGATTATTCCCCCAAATCAAAGAGAAAATTATGGATAAAATACAGAAATAATAAAGGATTCAGTGAATTAGACAGAAATTGGCATAATGAAGCATAGGAATACGGGTACAAAACAAAATTTGTACAGCAATTTTTTTTTATTGATCTAAAGTGCTCTATCCTCCTATAACTTGATGATTTTGCCGCAGACTTTCTAATGAGGTTAAAGTTGGATAGATCTATATTTGTCTTTTTTATGTTTGTTACGTTTGTTTTGCAAAATTAAAAATATATTATTTTTCAAAAATTGTAAAGGTTAAAGTTGCTTAATGCACTGTTAAACTGTTCATTTATAATGTTTATTATTTTATTGTTATTTCGTATCATCGTTTTTGTGTTGCTGGTTTCTTTAATCTAGGTGGTAAAACATTTTCACTTATGCACGTATGATTTTAAAATAATTCTTTACCCTGGAAGGAAAAGGGACTGAGAAGGACCAGCAAAAGTAATTGAAAATGGTCTCTGGAATATTATACCAAAAAGAAAAAAAAACATACGTTTTTTACAATAACTCCTTTTTGGTTTTGATCTCCTCACTCTTGGTTTATGGGGGGATAAGTTAGAATATAAGCACTGGTGATGGTGTTTACGCTATGAACTTGGAAAGGATTATTAGCCGAACTAATTATTTTCATCCACTTGCCCTGAAAACAATTTAGCGTGCAGAGAGAGAGAGAGAGAGAGAGAGAGAGAGAGAGACCAGCCAGCCGACAGTCACAGAGAGAAAAATATGCATGTGTCAACTGTAAAGAAATACAGACATAAAGACGGACGTTCCCGCATGCACGCGCGAGCGCACACACATTACACACACACACACACACACACACACACACACACAGAGAGACAGAAAGAGAGAGAGAGAGAGACACACACACATAGGGACGGGACAAACCGACAGAGAAATAGACGAAAATACCAAAAAAGCTGACCGACCTGCAAATAAAGAAGTAAGCAGCAAGACAGACAGACAACAGACTTAAAAGAAAAAAAAGAAGAAGAAAAAAAAAAAAAACAGATACAGGTATCCTACCATTGAGCAGCTTGTCTGAAATGGTGGAAAGAATCCTGTATTTGTAGACAGAAAAAATACGGCGGTTCCATGGTGTTTGGAGCGAGCACTAAGTCTTATGTACATCTGTATGCAGCGTGCCTGTCCGCGCTCCCAACACTTACAGAAAGCATTGATGACTTGCGCAAGCATAATGTACCTCTCTCTCTCTCTCTCTCTCTCTCTCTCTCTCTCTCTCTCTCTCATAAACTTGGTTTACTTTTTGTTCTGAAGATGCCTTTGAAACAAGGAAATGCTGAGAGAGCTGCTCCGTTTAAATATTAAAAATTCTTGAAACGATGTCTCTTCGAATCATAATTATGCCGTGATTATGTCATGTTAAGTGAAGCATTATCATACATGGCTTACTATTTCTGCATGCAGGCATAATTGCAGCTTATGTCTAAGGATGTGATACATATATTTTGTTGTTGTTTTGTTAAACATCTGTCGTGTTGCTTATTGTTTTTCTGTTGTTTTTTTTTTTTATAAAAGCGGAAATTAAACAAATAATTCAAGAAAATAATTATATAAGACTTTTAAAGCAACTGAAAAGCATGCATTAGAAAGGTCTTAACCTGATGTACAATAAAACCATATAACCATGTACGTATTTCGAGCTCGGTTGCGTCCATGTTGCGGTAGTTGAGATTCCCGACGCATTCAGTTTCGACACATCCAAGGCACTTGTTTCTAAATTACAATTATTGACGTTATAAATAGGCGAAACATTTTGTACCGCTTCTTCTGCGCCTTCGAGGTCAAAATGTGAAAAGAAAATTAAATGGGCGGTACAAGAAAATATCTATGAATGTATGAATCCAAACATTTCTGGGACGCTACGTATTAATTATTTTGATGAAAATGCATATATCTCATTAATGAGTAGGCCTATATTTTCTTTTTAATCATATTGGAAAAACAGGACGTTATTCTGTGCACAGAATGGGGGGTGACCGTACTTTTTAAAATTTTCAGTTTTTCTTTGCTTTAAGTTTTGAGTTACATACTGGTCATTTATTCCATATTTTAAGTTGGCTTCTGGCTTCTGACTGCTAATAATGCGTGAATGAAATTAGAGGGAGAAATTCCATTCCCGTTACACCAGCCTTTCGTAAATAACGTGCATTTTAAGAAAACTAAATCCTTAAATTAAAACGATGCCTGCGACCCATAGCTATAGACACTGGTTCTCATTCTACGCACAAGATTTGTTAAAACAATTTGTTCTCATAACTTTCGCGAGAAGAAATGATATTTAAAAAATCGTAACGAAATATATTCGTGTTTATTTGAAATATATACAATTTTCCCGCTCATCTGTGATAAATTGTGGTATCATCGTTTTCTCCCTTTACGGAAAAAAACCTCTGTCGATAATATAAAAATAACATAAATAATCAAGTTGAACTCATGTATTTCAAAGATCTACAAAATCGTTAAATGTTAATACATATTAACTGTAATTACACAGGTCCTTGACAAAGAAGTATATTCTTGCTTACAATATCACAGCATCAGAAAAAGAGTGAAATAAACTTTACAAATCGATAGTTAAAGTTAAATCTTAATTCCAGCCACACAACAACAACAACAACAAGTACAACAACAAAGGAGAGGATACGCAAAATCACAAATATTAAGACTAGAGACCAGATTAAGAATTTCTATATTTAAGGTTTCCGAATTGCATAGTATGAATATGTTTTGCTATGGAAAAAAAGAGACTCTAAGGGAAGGCCGTATGCATTATTGACGACATAATCCCGAGAACTTTTTTAACCATTCAGGGACCGCCTCGTCTTTGCTGCGTGCCATGTTTAACTATTTCTTGAAGGCCGAGAATAGCAAGCTGCAGGCTTCGCACATCGGATCACAGAGACAGTGGATGCAAGTGGAATAGAACTTCTTGAAGCAGCCCAAGTTGATTTCGCATGCCTTGTACATCGGGGTATAGTACCAGATATGGTCGAAAGCGATGCCAGCGAACTCGCAGCCCCAGCAGAGGGCGATGAAGATGCCACAGAGGAACGTGAGAATCTTGTAGCAGAGGTTTTTCCCACAAGTGAAGCACTTGTGAGAGTTGGTCCAAACGCAGTCAATGCTGTGGGTTCCATCGGGCTCGGCGAAGATTTCTTCAAAGTCCACCTACATGTTAATAGTGCACTTAAATTGGTTTTGTTATTATAACACATTATTCAACCCTAAATTGTTACACAAGAAAACTGAAGACACTTCCGGTTATTTTAAATATGTTTTCGTTGCTGAAAGATGGTGTGGAAATGATATTTTTATACATGGCATTTTTTCGAAAGCATAATTTAGATTAACAGCAAAATGTTAAAAAGACAAGCTGTCAATTACATAATTAATACGCATTTAGTACTTCACAGAAGTGTCTTGTTTTCTTTTTTGACACAGTCAAAATGAATAAGAATAAGGCAAAGTGTTAATAATGAATTAAATAAATTAAGGTTAGTGCAAATGTCAGTAATAGTTACGCCCATCAAAGTGCACATAAGAAGCAACCAATTTCCCTGTTAATTAAATAGTAAAAAATTGAACATTAATAAAAATACTGAAATGCAAATCCAAGGTATAATGAACTAAATAAACAAATTAAAACTCAAACAATAGAATTGATTAGTGATCAGTTAAAATGAATTATTTCATAAACTATCTAATTATATTTCAAACAATCAAATAAAATAAGGGAAAATATGTGATGATTGTTACTAAAAGATAAATAATATATTTTTATATCGCGATTTTTCAAACAAAATTGAAAAACGTGCACGCACACACAACATGCAACAGAAAACAATTTGTCTGAAATAACAACAATGTTGTAGCTTTTCAAAAGTAATTTTATTCAAATACAGGCAAGAAAAGAGAATAAGTAAATTTTGAAAGAAATAATTTTGCAACAACACTTGCATAATATCAATGAGAGGGAAATGTATATTACAATATTGAGGACACAAAGTTGCGTTTTCTTAGTTTTGGTGTAAATGTTTTGGTTTTTGTGTGATTGAGTCACATACCGGGGTACCAAATATTGACTACCTATTGTCACGTATGTCATTGTGGCAAATACATTTGTATGTACATCCGTAGGGCTCAAAAGTTTAATAAATTGACATTAAATTGTATGTACATATACGTGCTGGTAATGAGAGCCGGTTAAAAAAGACAACACCACTAGCTAGTTTAAAGACCACAATCAAAACGAACACTCTACATCACAGTAAGACAGGTCATCTGGCAGTATAGTTTAAGGTTTAAAACGATACCGGCCGACCCAGATGAACATAGAGTCAGCGCTGGCCATTCGGCTGTTGGTTCCTGTGACGACAGTCCTCGTCTGTCGCTACTTTTTGAACGCTGCGAAGAACAAGCTGCAGGCTTCACACATTGGATCACACAGACAGTGGATGCAGGTGGTATAGAACTTCTTAAAGCAGCCCAAGTTGATTTCGCAAGCCTTGTACAACGGGGTGAAATACCAGATGTGGCTGAAAGCGATACCGGCGAACTCACACCCCCAGCACAGGGCGACGAAGATGCCGCACAGGAAGGTGAGAATCTTGTAGCAAAGGTTCTTGCCACAGGTGAAGCACTTGAAGGAGTTCCTCCAAACGCAATCTGCACTGTGGGTTTGGTCTGGCTCGGCGAAGACTTCCAAAAAATCCACCTGGAAACGGAGAAGAACTACTAAGCGAAGGCACATGGTAATCACAAAAGCGCAGGAACTAAATAGATCGCGTAACTTGGAAAAAAAATGAAGAGGGAAGCTAGAATTGCATATTATCCCATTCATGTAGATCTTCCTATTCAAATTGAAAATTTTGGCGCAATGCCCTTACCATATTTTCCATTATGACAAGACGCATTTGGAAAATGTGGACGGCAGCATGTGTTTTCTCTGACACTTTATTTAAAGAATATATGCCATATGAAATGTGGTGGAAAACAAATTGCCGGAGTGAAAAAGGTTCTTGTGTTTGCTATGACTTTTTTCAACGCCGTTTTTGAGCTTTTTTTTATAATCAGGATCATTTGATATGCCTTTCTTGGTTGAATTTCAAATGACTGACAAATTAGTTGCATCCTCTTCTAAATAAAAGCACTATAAAGAATAAAGGAATAATTCAAACTAAAGCAAAGAAATGGCGTATACACCCATTTATATATAAAACAATACAGAAATATACATTTAACAAAGCCATAATAAAGAAAGGTATAAAGCAGAATATCATACAGCTGACATGTCTGAAAAGGATTATGGGAACGTGATCTAAGGTTAAATCTAAAATCTGGAATATAGAGCAGAACCGAATATGCTGAATAAAAGACGGAATGATAAGTCAAATAACACAGCTACAGGTTGTCTAATAATCCTAGAATATACTTCGATACAGTGGATGAATAGTCATGTATATGGGAGTGTGCTTTTAGGTTTATTAGACGAGATTGCTACCTGTGAACACTCCATTACCGATACGTCCTTCACCTGCATAGCGGAGTTAAGCGTTGGGTTTTCAGGTTTAAAAATAATAAGCAAGAAAATCGGGTCTAGTTCTACCTGAAACTCTTTTTCAGATAATCAGGAAACGACGAAGTATATGTTGCTATTTGTTCGACTTGCTAGTTCTATAGGCCCTACACCTAGATGAAATGTTGAATTTGACAAAGAAAGGTTTCTTAAATGCGGATAGCTAGAAGCAGGAAGGAGAGCTAAGCGAACCTAGAACTTCAACGCGCAAAAAGTACATATATAAGCGGATGAAACCTAAGGTACGTGAAAAGAGATAAATGATCAAAGAGGAGATGATAAATGATCGATGATCATAGGTTCTAAGATATTTGGTGGAAGATATGGGGTTGGGTAACTGCACTACTTCTCCCAGCATGCCCGTTGAGAAGGCGAATGCTGCTCAGCAGAGTTTACCTCAACTGTTGCAATGGTTGGCCCGTTGCCCGTTGCTCTATAGCATGTGTCTCCTCCATCTTGCTTTATTTACTTTGGTTGATGTGGTCTTGGAAGGAAGAAATGGTCTTAATTCCCTGTACATTTCTGAGCGACCAAAGGAAAACAATTACTCGCTGGAAGTGATGCCCCGCAACAGCGGCTTTAGTCACTTTTTACGTTTTTCCTAAACTTTTTTTTTTTTTTTTTTGTAATTCCTGAAGGTAAAGAAGTGAATAAGAAAACCCGCCCGTCCTGTTTAATTTTGAAGGGCGACGGAGTCCTCTCATCTCCTCATACGGTATACATAAGATCCCGTTCAGAACACCCTTCAAGGTACACAGTAATAACGGTTGTCATTGTCACTGCCACACTGGGCTTCTTTCAGAGCCTTCTTTACATCGCACACATATACTAACTTAATATCATTGTTTGAAAGTTTTTTCCTTATCTATTTATTGTGGTGTTAGTGAATTCTGCAATGACTATGCTAAAAAATATAATATCTATAGGTAACAAAAATAATACCGAGGCCAAAAGGCCAAGCGTGGCCTTGAAATATACTCCTAAGAAGCAGAACCTTGGTACCCTCTGTCACGATCACCGATTGATTTTTCACTAGACATGCAAAGATACGTCTCTAGCTAAATGCCTGTACTTTTCTCCTCGAGACAAAGCAAAGTTACATAATTTTCTGCGACCCTGGTAGAGTGTAAAAGCTGTGCATAGTTATGGAAAATTGGCATTGTTTGCCAGTGTACACTACTGTTCCGAGTGTCAACATAGCTAATGCCTACCAATTCATGCGTTCGCCAAACAAAGGGAGGCGCAAATAAAAGGCTTGATAAAGCCTTTGGGGTACACTAATTCCATTTTCTCTGTTTTCCCTAGTAACTGGGTTAATGGGCTATCTTTTGTTTATTTATTGTTACTTTTAAAAAGTCCAAGTGACCGAGTGACCTAAAACAATGAAATCTAGTAAAGGTTTTCCAAGTGATACTTGCGAGATCTCCTTTTCATTTTGATAGGCCTGTTTGTTCTGATAGCTCTTCGCAGTGAGACTTCTGATTTAGTCACTGGAAGCTGATGGTTATTGTTTTTTTAGTTAGTGTTCTCGGAATCTTCTCAAATGCTTAACCAAAATATACGGAATTTTAATAATAATTTCGCCGCGTCTATAAATTCAGATTCATATTTCTACCCCAAATTTTGGACGAATTCGCTATTGCATTGCGTTCTTTAAATTACTCTTTATTTAATTTATGCCAAGAAAATTTATGAATCTGATTTATTAGGCATACCCTTTTTCTGAGAGTTTATTAATGATTTGACACCATTTACTACCTCGTTTACTTTTTTTTTTTGGGGAGGGGGGGGGGAGAGGGCAAAAGGCACTTTTAGTATATTAAAATGAAATATTTCAGGGCTATAAATATAATATTACTAAACTATACTACGGTAAAAATAAGAACCTAATTAGTTGTACAAATTATTGTAATTCGTGTTCGCTCACGGAAGTGGATTTCCTATGCAGTGAGTCAAAAGTGAAAATGGTCATGCTGAATACTACATTATATTTTGAAGCCGGTCAAAATCTCAACAGAGACCTGTTTGAAAAATTATTTTGCTCTCTCTGTCCATAGCTATTCCTAAAAAAACTAAAATCGTCACTGGAATTCAATCAATTCAGCAGTTAATTTAAATGCACTACTGCGTACATTGATAATAATAATAATAATAATAATAATAATAATAATAATAAATGTTTGGTTTCTTTTTTAGTTTTTCCATTCACTTTATGATTTTCTCCTACGCCAACTGCCAGTGCTACTGGCAGAAGGTGCGGTCATATTTCTATTGTTCTCGCCTCGACAGCCATGGTACCCGATCACGTGACCTATACGACTAGGGGAAGGGGGGGGGGCGAGGGTGTACAGTTAAATGTTCAATGCTAACCACGAAATGGGGAATAAAATGTTCAGTTTTTACATCAGTTTGGCCCTATTTAACACGAATAAATGCTACTTCGATAGCAGCTATCCGTTTATGAATTATTTATCGCTAACGCTGCTGTTGTCTATCGGTTAGAGCTGACAAGATCAATTATAATAATTTGGCATAGATGCATCTTTCTCTCCTTAGCAACTCTGTTACGCCACAAGTTTCGTCAAATTTGCTGGGCGAGGTTTATTAATCTCCTCTGTTTTTTTCTCTTTATTTTTTTCACTATATTACACCGGTAATATGAAAAGGCAAAGACCATCAAAGAATGAAAGACTTTTTAAAATTGCATTCGGAATAAAATAAATCTTAAGTAATGAAGTTTGAGGTAAAGGAAATTTATTATAGGAGACTGCACTTGAGTATGTGCTAATATTTGCTTGTACGATTTAATGCTCCTGAATTTGGGGCACATTTTCAAATTAGAAGGAAAAACTTCAACAAGAAACATTTAATGAACGCGCAATTTTATAGAAGTCAAATTCGGTGCGTGCAACGGTGCACGTATACTGCGCTTCGAAATTCGGTCTGTAAAAAAGTAGCATTTCAACTCACCGTCATGTAGTCATACATGTTGTTTGGATCACGATTGATCAGATCAATTTCTTGGGTTTCTGCCATCTTTGCAGTTTTTTTTTATCTGCTCTGTCAATTAAAAAATGGAGTAAAAATGTCCAGTCCCGTTTTTCGCTCCGTGTACGTCGCACGAAATTCTGGCCAGTAGTGACAATTGATTCCCTTGCGGGATTACACCATTGGTTGGAGTGTCGACCTTGGCAACGTCACAATATGTACTTACTGGGCCCTGCGTTGTCAAGAAAATGCGGTCAGGTCGTTATGGACTTAAGACAAGTGTGATTTCTACCATACAGAACAAACAGTGAAAGTTATCCATTGTTATTTGGTTGAAGTGGCGCTCTGGTTCCATCAGATAGATACAATGCTGGAACCGGACCGCAGCTACACAGGTGCTATAATACTGTGTCTGGAATTCTTGCAGCTTCATAGACATGATTGCTTTATTTTTTTAAGAACATGGATACATATTTTTTGTATGAAATATCAATACGAGACACCGGGTCGTATTAGGAATACTTGAAGGGGTAGAAGTTGGGCCAATGGTCAAGTTCTCTCTTGTGCATTGACCACACTACACATCACCTGAGCGCTGGTGATGTTTTGTGTACACTTTGATATATTTCTAAAAATTAATTCTACATCATAGTTTAATGCTGGTGTGAAAGCATGCTGTCTCCTCAATGTTTTTGGACGACCCTCAAGAGCTGTACCCAGCCATTCCCGAGGAGGGTCTCTTTTCTGAGATTAGTGAACGTTTTACATGAACCATCTTATGTGTCCCAACCTGAGAAATGACATAGAAACAACGCATTTTGATTTAAAGCGCCCCCTCCTTTTTTAAATTTGCTACCCCCAACCTCAAAATTCCCCAAATTCCAACACAGTCAAATGAAAAAATCAAACTTTTTAAGATAACTTTATGCCTTCAGTCTTCCGATGCACTTAATCGAAGTACATGTATAGGTCAACAGTTTTGGCGACAGCAGTAACTATAATTGATCAAATACGCCGAAGTTGTAGCTTTACATCACATTGGTAGTAATAAGATGCTTTATCAGTGTCAATACCCGACCTTGACCGGACCCATAGTGTCAATACCCAATAAGGGTAACGGTCACGGTCAAGGTTTGACCAAGAATCGGTAAATTCAATGTTCCAGTATTACATCACAATGCGCCCCATGAAAGAGAGCAGATTGTTACGTGTTTATGTAATATTGTTATTGCGTATAGTCTTGCTTTGCGTCAACGTGCACTGTATACTAGTAATCTATATGGTGCTTGCAGTTTTCTTAAACTCTCTTCTTGTAGAGTTGTGCCATAAATTCAGCGTTTTTTTTTTTTTCTTGTCGTTCCGTTGGCCTGGAACGATTCTTTTAAAATTCACGGAAAATGAAGTTTATAGCATGTAATTAGTCATATCCAAAATAGATTAAATGCCAAAGAAAAATATCAATTTTTGCCCTCGTTTATGTGCAATAAGAACTTTCAGGCAGTGAAAAGTACACCAAAGTGAGATAGGTATTTTTCCTTCTAATGCTGTATTACCTGAAGTCTTTCAAGGGGTTACCTGAATCATGAATGGATCTTACACCACTGACCGGTAAGAATCGATTCCCGATGCGCTGTTACCAATTCATATATCCAATTAGTAGCCTTGGCGTCGCTTCCTCACTGTGGACGTCAATTTCTGCCCGTGGTACTATGTGGCAAGAGTCCAAAAATGACCGGAGAACCCGTCGAAAAAAAAACACGAAGGGTTCGTGTCATTATTATCCACCTGCTTTCATTTTACTTGCTATCAAAGTATAATTTTTCACATATATTTTGGTTTTTAAGGAACTAGTTGTTCACGCTTATTAATAATTATAACACGGTGTGTGATTAATAATGTAAGTGTTTAACCAAGGGCAAGTGTTTCCTGGAACGAATTGATCTGTATTGTCAACAATAACTTAGAGATATCAGGGCAACAATAACTATATTTCCATATGACCATGTGAAGCCAACAATACATTTCCTGGAGAAGGTGAAAGACAAAGACCCGAAGATTTTCACAGACATGTCTATTATTCAGTCTCGGACATGTCACAGTAAAACAACCCATTGCCGTATATTGACCGAGGCTTTTACTGTCAAAGATTTCAAAGGGAATTAAGATGTTTGCGAGAGAGAAATGAAGTCCACTGTTTTGCAATTTATTGCCTTGTATTTCAGTATCGAATTTGTTTTTACTTGATTGTCTTTACTTCTTTGTAGGGCTTTTTCGCGAAGCTTTTTCTTCGTTTCTACCTTTATCCATCATCTAGCTTTGAGACCTTGTGATAAAGAGGACCTGAAAAAGCTCGTTGAAGGGTATCTGTAAAAACAGTACATAGTTTAAAAAACGAGTTCTGTTATATCTTTTGGTAGGGGAATCAGTGTTCTGATGGGTAACAGCTGACAACCAATTTTCTAACCGTAATCCTCTTCGGCTCCCAACAGAATAAGTCAAACAATTGAAAAGATATGAAGACAAAATTTAATATCAAATTTAATTCTGATGGACTGCAAGCAAGGCAAACAGTTACATTTTTTAAGATACCCTCATATAAATTCTTTTTCAAGAACCCTTGCAACCCCCGGCGCCTCTCTTTCTTTCTCAGCCTGAGGGTCGGGTATTGTACTATAACTATTGACTAAAATTGGATTCCCCACATTGGATTCCCCACTTCTGAAAGACGCATATCACATGTATCCTAGAAAAATCATAGAAAAGGCAGACGTTATGTCACTCGTAGTGGTACATTGATCAAATGTAGGAATTACAGTAATCGCTATGTACGCCTTCATGGTTATAAAGCCCTCTNAAAAAAAAAAAAAAAAAAAAAAAAAAAAAAAAAAAAAAAAAAAAAAAAAAAAAAAAAAAAAAAAAAAAAAAAAAAAAAAAAAAAAAAAAAAAAAAAAAAAAAAAAAAAAAAAAAAAAAAAAAAAAAAAAAAAAAAAAAAAAAAAAAAAAAAAAAAAAAAAAAAAAAAAAAAAAAAAAAAAAGACAATGTGGAGGTTTTGGAAATTTATTTTTACAAACAGCCAAAAAGTCTTAATTTACCCGTTCGTGATTGGTAACATTAATACATTTATGAAATATATCACAGTTATGCTTGAATCGACACATTGCTATGTGATGTGCAATCGCACGATACGTTACTCAATACAGCATGGATTCTAGAAGTATAATAGTGCTACAGGAGTACAATTCATCAATAAATGTAATCAATAAGTTCACCTAATAGGGTAGATCAAATAGCGCTCAGATGGAATGCGCATATTTTTTTCTGAAGTGAAGTGAAAATTACATCATCATCATCATCATCATCATCATCGAGGACCGTTTAAAATACCCAAAAGAACAAAACGCCAGTATCTCAAGATTCCTCACAAGACGCTGTAAATTCCAGAGTTGTTACATATGCACATGCTGAACGTCTTATCTTAAACTAAAATATACGTAGCCATTTATAGTCCAATCTATATCTCTTTTTTTTTTAATTCCCTTTTGTTTAAATGTTTGTAATTATAAAAAAAAAATCTATGATAATCCACTGTGATGTCTTTTAATCAATGTCGTTAGATCCATTTGGTTGTTTTCGAAGGAACGCTCTCGATAACATAATCGCAATTCCAAAATTATTTTGTTTAATTTTCCACTGTCCAAGTCCAGTCTGAATATGAAAGAGGGCCGCTTATGTACTTGTCACAGCATACTTGAATCTCCCGACTGGAATTCTGCCGCTAGAAGAGCATGTGACGTCGCATGTTTCTTTCATCATTTCTTGAAGGCCGTAAAGAACAAGCTGCAGGCTTCACACATCGGGTCACACAGACAGTGGATGCAAGTGGAATAGAACTTCTTGAAGCAGCCCAAGTTGATTTCGCAAGCCTTGTACATCGGGGTATAGTGCCAGATGTGGCTGAAGGCGATGCCAGCGAACTCGCAGCCCCAGCAGAGGGCGACAAAGATGCCGCAGAGAAGAGTGAGGATCTTGTAGCAGAGATTTTTGCCACAAGTGAAGCACTTGTAAGAGTTGGTCCAGACGCAGTCAATGCTGTGAGTTCCATCGGGCTCGGCGAAGATTTCTTCAAAGTCCACCTAAAGCGCAAAACCAAATCATGTCAAACTGATAAAAAAAGAACAAATGCGATAAGTTGTCAATTTTTGTGAAGGAAATTCTAATTTCGGTTATTTAAAACCGTTATCTGTTACTTATCCATGCAAAAATTGGAAATAAGATATTTCTGGGCGCAAACATTATTCTATCCAATGGACTGCATAGCTTTTTGACAAAAGCAACCCTTTTCACAAAAATACTTAAATAAGAAATATGTAATAAAAACACCGAAAGAGCAATTCTTTGTATAAAAAAATTAGCAAAATAATTATAATAAATTCATTGATTAAAAAAATTAATATGTGATGCTTTTCTTTTCTTCAGAAACAACATAAATATTCTAAACATTGTCGATCAAGAGATAAATCCTAATTGATCTTCTCTCAATTTTATGTATCAAATTTTTTTATAACTTACCGTTAAATAATGGTAAATATTAGTGGGATCTCTGTTAACGAGATCGATGTGATCAGAACTCGGAACAGTTGCTGGGTCCGACATCTTAGTATCACTGTATTAATATAATTTTTTTTCAAGAATTTCTTTGAATTCTGTGTGCCTAATGGCAAGACTGCAATTAATCCTCCGGCTATGTGTTTGCTGCGGCGTGCTGTTTTAGTGTAGATCTGTCGTGAAGGGCACGGTTTATATGGGGAACCCTGTACAAATACTGTCAATGTGGACATTAAGCCTTAAAGGGCGCGCAACTCTCTCTCATTGCTCTCTCGTTCTCTCTCTCTCTTTCAGTAATCCACCGTTGCAATGACAAGTACGATGACCCTTGAATAAATTAACTTGCATTAGTTAGCGGGCAGGAATGTTCGATTTGCGTTTCAAGTCACTGATGCCATACAAATGCTGGAGTTGTCAGTATTTGTTGGATTTGGAAACATTTTTACTTTTATTGGAAAAGAAATTGGTCGATAAATATGTTGATATAAGAAACTTGGTATGTTTTATTCTGATGTACCTTGAGTTACGATATAAATATATTCCATACTCGTTAAAATTTGGCGAATAACCATGATAGATCAATTGCTGGTCTTCTGTATAAAAAGTAGAAATAAAGCAGCAGGAACTGAAATGCTAAATTGACCAAAGATCATGACCATGAGAACTGCAAGTTCATATATTGGAAGCATTATATTACCCTTTTACATCAAGCAAGTTTTCACAATCGAATTTTTCTAGAGTATCTTTTACATGTGTTATTTAAATAGAAATCGTTCTAAATGCAAAACACAGCATTAGATAATAGATCAATTTTTTTTTTTTCGAATGTATTGGTTCGCAAAAGACATATTTTGGTACAAAAATTATTCTTGTTCAGTAATCGTGTCAATTTCGCAGTTTTATATATTTACTTATTAATTCAATTATTTTTACAATTTTCTACACATTTCACAAGCTTGATCATTCTAAGCCAGGAAACGGCTGATTACATAAGAATATCACCACACATTGCCATACGTGACTACAACGTTTACTATTTGTGTAGCGTGGAAAATGCCAAACACAACCAGCCATTGGCTCTTAATTCAAAGCCATGTTAATAAGGCGGCCACTTGCGGGAGATACACGACTCAGTTACCAACAACAAAGGCTTAAGTCCTTGACACCGAGAGCAAAGGAAAGCGATCTCTACATGCCTTTCGTATTGTTGAGAGGTGTCACACAAAGCTGGCTGTTGTCCCAACTCTCTCTTTCTGTTTGTCCTTGCGATTACCGCATAGGTTGCTAATGGTTAAAGCGACCCAGTGACAATCACAATGACATAACCGCATGACAACAGACGCCCACAATGGGTATCTTCAGGTTTAAGTCATCTTGATCGTGACATCTTTTTTTATGGAAAACCCTAGGACACATATTCCCTGCACGTGTGGAAAATATGTCAAGAGGCAATAATCCCAAGTTTTGTACTGAACATAAAGCAGTAGAGTGGAAATAAAACAACACCAAAGAGTCGGTGTAAAATCATCACTTCCCAAACACACGTCTGTTGTGTTGACACAATTTTTCAATTTTTCATAGATACATGGCCTACTAGTATAAAGAATCCCATTTCGTAGATTCGTGATGTTGATGTGGGGATCTGAATAGCTGGTTTTCTCCCCGGCCCACCCGTCTTTTCATTCTTCTCCTTCATCACTACCACCATCAAAATACTTTACATGGCCTCAGAGGCTCGTTAAAATCATGAGTGAAGTCACACACTTCCATACCATTCCTTGGTTACATATCGTTCATTACTCATAACAACAGATTTTTAATGAAGCTGGTTTGCAGGTCAAACTATGTTGAGAATTGTAGGCTAAAATGTAGGCCTACCTTTCTCTGCCTTACTTTTAAAGTGAGTCGAACTACGTACAGGTGTTTTAATTGAACATGGAACGGCTAAATTATACTATTTCTGATAGTTCTTACGTATTTGCATTGTTTTCTTTATTATTTCCCTTTATACGCCTTATAGAAATGGTTACTTTCTGCGTTGTTTTCAACACTCATTTCATGACTAATATATTTTTCTCTCAGTTCCTCCTTGCGTACGGTACTCGGTACTTTTACTCGGCCCAGAGACTTTCTTTCGCTAAAGATGGATAAAAATTCCCGCTTGATATGACTCGAACTCTCCGTAATCAGACTATTCTCTTAAATGTATAACACTAAAGAGCGGTCTGTCTAATTTAAAATCAAACTTACTGTTCATTTTGCTAAAAATATTAACATGCGTACAGAGTCATAAATACAATGAGACCTATAGTCGCACCGTATTATTAAAAACGGTTTCGTTCCTATTGGTGACGATATAAGAAGTGTTTTATTTTAAATCCAACTCTATAAGTATTGATCTTGTTTTTCAGCTGAACTTGGACATAATAACGAATTCGAGCTAAATGAAAACCACCATGCATGTATAACGATTTCAAATAGTTGAAAATAAGGCACAATAACGACTTAAAAGTACCCTGGGATTTTTCTTACGCTCTTCACGACAAGGCGAACCACTTATAACACGTACCATGTAGGGTTTTTTTTTTTAACTTTTATTTATAAGGCCTAAGAGATGCTTCTTCTGTAGGCTTAATATTGAAGATAAATCATGTTTAGTTATTTCAGGGATGTTTTACTTGCACACACACAAAAAATGATTAACTTTAGCATCACCGTGATAAGTAAAAAGAGCCAAGGATAGTAAAATAATTGGGAACCTTTCAAAATATAAAATCGGGTAGGTCCTACAGACAGAATGCAGACGGAATGCAAGCTCAATTTACCCATAGCTACAAACACGGACCCAATACAAAATCCTGACACCCCCTCTAAATGGCATTTGGGTGGCCACTATGACATATGGGTAACACAGGCAGCCCCCCCCCCCTCCCCCCCCCAAACCCCATATACATGTACAAGCCTCACCAAACATCGATATCATGGCTTCGTTTTGTTCATAGATATTTACACAGTGTTCTGCATACAGGAGCACAACCAAGCATTGGAACAGGATACTATCCAAATTCAATACTGTTGACGCTCCCGTTGTTTGAAAGCACAAATGTAGTCAAAACACTTTACGGCCAGTGGGTGACCAACGAGTAGTTGAGGTTGTCTTGGCGAAACCGGGCTTTGGCAGTATCGGTGCATAGTAAAGATTGCGGGTCAAAATCCCTCAAAATGCTAGCTAGGGGGAGGGGTAGTTTGTTGTTGCAGTCGGTGCTTATCTTTTTGCATGTGCTGCAAACATGTGCAACCAAAAAGGGTCCCCCAAATATCGTGTTCATACTCACAGATGATCAAGACACTGTTATTGGAGGAGAGGTAATATACTATGCAGACATGAGTAATACAGTATTTTGTATTGTCACGAGATCTTTAAGATACAGTATCTACCAGTTAAAAAAAGCCAAAAATGGGCAATGGGATATTGTAAATGGTGTAAGATGAATCAGTATTTAAGTGATTTTTCATAAAAAAATAGTCACCAACGTAGTTTGTTGTAGAACAAAAAGTGTGCATTAAAAATACATTTGTAGCGTCACATGATTGCAAGAGTCACATGTACAATGTATATTGTACATGTATTGACACCATTGCTATTTTTCCCAGAACAAACTTATTCAACAAACGTCTGACAATCACATTTTTAAGCTGACAGTTTTGACAACTTTTTGCCTTAACGAGTGTCGATGATGAATTATAATAGTAAATTACTGAGTACACGTAGTACAGGGGCGGATTTTGGCCGTCTTCTGGGTCTTCCGGAAGACGGTAAGATTTTCAAGTTTTCAAATTACTACGTTAGTAAATTAAAGCCCACTGGTAAAGGCATGACACTTTTACTGATACTAATGCTACAAGGGTCTCATTAGGCGGGGTAGGTGGGGGAGTAGTGATTTGCTTTACCATCTTTTGAGTCGAAACTAATAGTGCAAGGAATTAATAGATACTGTAAATGGTGCTACAGATTACAGGGTCTTGAACCAGCAAATGCTGTACATTGACTCATATTGTATGTTTTTTTTTTCAGACACCAATTACAAAAACCAAGAAGTTAATTGGAGATGAAGGGATCATTTTCAGGAATATGGTATGTTTGAACCGAGCGTCTGTGGAGTGTGGATTCCCTGTAGTGTATATAAACCACTTCTACTTGTTTTTTATACTGTACAACTCGAATTGCACATGCCAAGGGATAAACTAAATAAATCGCTCAATCAACCATAAAAAAGCTGTAAGCTGCTCCTTTCCAGAAATCTTTGGTCGTAAATTTAACCTACTTATCTGACCTACTTACATGTATTTGCCCCAATTATATACAGCATAGAAAGCTAGGAGAAAAATCCATTCAATATATCATTTTTCAGGTAATATTAAACAATATTTTTGGTAATTCTCTTAATTATACTATCTGAAATTATATGCTTGCATTTGGTCGGCTTTTGTGGCCAAAAATTAACTTCATATGCATCTTTAATTTATTACTCAGTTTGCCACCAGTCCGTTATGTTGCCCTAGTCGATCCAGCATTCTCACTGGGAACTATGTCCACAACCATGGTGCTGTCAATAATAGCGTGGACGGGAACTGCAGTAGCCCCACCTGGCAGAAGCAGTCAGAGACGAGGGCCTTTATCACGTATCTCAAAAAGCAGAAGTACACCACTTTTTTTGCTGGGAAGTATCTAAATCAGGTCGGTACATGTAACTTTTAATTTTTTACATGTAATTCAAAATTGTTTCAGCCAAATTTGAAGTGTATTTCTTAAGTTATAAATACTTAAGTTATCCAAGGCATAATATAAATAAATATATTTTTTTATTATCATTCTTTATTTTCATTTCATCATGGTTGACTTTATTCTTACTTTATGGGTCTCAGTCTTGTATTTTTTGGACAAAAACACTATATGCTGATGACATGGGCTTAGAAATAGAGAAATTGTTTTAGGCCATTTTCAACTGGATGTGTGTGTGTGTCTTCTATTCCAGTATGGCAAGCCTGAGACAGGGGGCCCAGAACACATACCACCTGGCTGGGACTGGTGGAATGGGCTGGTAAGCTAATGTAACTAGAACGCCACTTCAATCTGAGTATCAGAGGT